TCACCCCCAAAACAGAGGGAAAAAAGCTGTGCGGTATTCTTGATAATTTTGGTCTAATTCAACATATTAACCAAGCCCAAACTATCGAGGTCACAGGAAGGGTGTGACTATTTCCAATGTCTTTGTAACTGATGACGCCCTGTCAGATCATTTTGCTGTTATCTTTCAAAGCACAATCAACCAATCAATCAAGGAATTTTGCGCATGTCTCAGCCAGTCTCACACTTTACAAAGGGGTTTTCTGTGGTATTTTTCTGTCTCTGAACTGTTGAGCAGCTAAGAGCTCCACATCTGTATCGGTGTAAATACATACATTTTAACAAAACCTTTTGGTCCTTTTGTCCTGGTAACCTACACTGCCTTGCAAAAATATTCATATATTTTGGAAGTTCAAAATATTTTGCCATCCACAAACAGTATTTGTTGAGAATTTTTTGTGATATATTGTAACTAATTTGTGCATAACTGTGACTCTTTTTGCAATATTAAAAATCTAACTTAAAACACATTTGAAGGGCCATGTTATAGGCAGTCCACCAACACTCTCATTGTTCCAAACAGAGATTCAACTTTGTGTCTCTGCCCACGGATGTCCTGGAAATTGAGGTAAAGGACAAGTTTGCCAAGAGTCGGCCAATCATCAAGCGTTTTCTGGGGAAGCTTTCTGTCCCTGTCCAGAGGCTGCTGGAAAAACATGCCATCGGGTAACATACAGCACTTCCCTCTGTTTAATGCTTTTTAATCTGAAGATAACTGTCGCGACTTGTGCATTATTCTTTATTTCAGTCTGCCATCTTTCTTTATCTCCAATACTTTTCTAATGTTTGTCTGTGAACAGAGATCGTGTGGTGAGTTACTCTCTGGGTCGCAGGTTGCCAACAGATCATGTTTGCGGCCAGCTGTTGTTCCGCTTTGAGCTGACCTCTTCGATTCATCCAGGTACACATCATCCAGCAGCAGGCAGCATCTTTTAATCTTGTTTATAATACGGTGTTGGATTTCATTGAGACTTTAAAGCAGGGGTCCCCAAACTACGGCCCGCGGGCCGGATCCGGCCCGCCTCCACATTTGGTCCGGCCCCCTGAACAATACCAGAGAGCATTCAAATTTTTTTTCATTTATTGTATTTTCTGGTTTATATGTGGATTTTTCTTCAACCACCAGGGGCTCTTTAGCAGGAAGTGTGTCTTGTAAATTGTGGGGCGCATTGCTGCCATCTGTTGGACTTTTAGGGAACTGCTTGACTTTTATGTTATTTAATCAGTACGGTTTTTTGCTAGCGTTAGAGCAGATGAACACACGTGTCTGTTATGAACGCCGCATTCCAGGTCTAGTTCTTCGAAGCGATGCCTGTAAGTAGCAGCTTATAGCCTACTTCAAAACGAGCCTTTATGTTAACATGTTAAAGTTACATTTCCTCAATGGAATATATACTAGTCAGTCCCAGTGACCGTTTCACTCATGGGTTTTGTCCATGTGCTTTCTGGGTAAAAATTAATCGAGAACCCCCCCCCCCCCCCCCCCCCCCCCCCCCCCCCCCCCCCCCCCCCCCCCCCCCCCCCCCACCCCCCGC